TCTGCCCCCAGAGTGGGGGTTTTAGCCCCATAACTGGGGTTTCTTCCCTCAAAGTGGGTCTTGCAGCCCTATAACTGGGGTTTCTGCCCTCAAAGTGGGGGTGTTCTCACTATAAACTGGGTCTTTCTGCCCCCAAAGTGGGTCTTTCTGCCATGAAACTGGGGGTTCTGCCCCCAAAGTGGGTCTTTCTGCCCTGAAACTGGGGGTTCTACCCTCAATGTGGGTCTTTTTGCTCCCAAAATGGGGTTTTAGGAGTGCGAGGTGAGACACTGCCCTGCCCCCTAACTGGGTCTTTTTGCCCCCAAACTGGGGGTTCTGCCCCCAGAGTGGGTGTTTTAGCCCCATAACTGGGGTTTCTGCCCTCAAAGTGGGTCTTGCAGCCCTATAACTGGGGTTTCTGCCCTCAAAGTGGGGGTGTTCTCACTATAAACTGGGTCTTTCTGCCCCCAAAGTGGGTCTTTCTGCCATGAAACTGGGGGTTCTGCCCCCAAAGTGGGTCTTTCTGCCCTGAAACTGGGGGTTCTACCCTCAATGTGGGTCTTTTTGCTCCCAAAATGGGGTTTTGTGCCCTGAAACTGGGGGTTCTGCCCCCAAAGTGGGGTTTTGTGCCTTGAAACTGGGGGTTCTGCCCCCAAACGGGGTCTTTTTGCCCCCAAACTGGGGTTTCTACCCTCAATGTGGGGTTTTCTGTCCTGAAACTGGGGGTTCTGCCTCCAAAATGGGTCTTTTTGCCCCCAGAGTGGGGTTTTGTGCCTCGAAACTGGGTGTTCTGCCCCCAAACTTGGGTTTCCTGCCATGGAACTGGGGGGTTCTGCCCCCAAAGTGGGTCTTTTTGCTCCCAAAATGGGGTTTTCTGCACTGAAACTGGGGGTTCTGCCCCCAAAGTGGGTCTTTTTTCCACATAGCTGGGGGGTTCTGCCCCCAAAATGGGTCTTTCTGTCCCCAAACTGGATCTTTTTGCCCCCAAACTGGGGTTTCTACCTTCAATGTGGGTCTTTCTGCCCTGAAATTGGGGTTTTCTGCCATGGAACTGGGGGTTCTGCCCCCAAAGTGGGTCTTTTTGCCCCCAAACTTGGGTTTCCTCACCCCAAAGTGGGGGTTCTGCCGCCTAACTGGGGTTTTCTGCCTTAAAACTGGGGGTTCTGCCCCCGAAGTGGGTCTTTTTGCTCCCAAAATGGGGTTTTCTGCACTGAAACGGGGGGTTCTGCCCCCAAACGGGGTCTTTTTGCCCCCAAACTGGGGTTTCTACCCTCAATGTGGGTCTCTTTGCCCTGAAACTGGGGTTTTCTGCCCTGAAACTGGGGGGTTCTGCCCCCAAAGTGGGTCTTTCTGTCCCCAAAGTTGGGTTTTCTGCTATGGAACTGGGGGTTCTGCCCCCAAGGTGGCTCTTTTAGCCCCATAACTGGGGTTTCTGCCCCCAAAGTGGGTGTTTCTGCCATGAAACTGGGGGTTCTGCCCCCAAAGTGGCTCTTTTAGCCCCATAACTGGGGGGTTCTGCCCTGAAACTGGGGATTCTGCCCCCAAAGTGGCTCTTTTTGCCCCCAAAGTGGGGTTTTGTGCCCTGAAACTGGGGTTTCCTCCCCCCAAGCTGTTTTTTTGTCCCCCCTAAACTGGTTTCTGCCCCCCTAAACTGGTTTCCCCCCCCCCAAACTGGTTTCCCCCCAGGTGCTGCTGATGGTGGGGCTGCCGGGCGCGGGGAAGACGCACTGGGCGCGGGAGCTGAGCCGGGAGCAGCGGGAGAAGAGATACAACATCCTGGGGACAGAGAGCGTCCTGCGGCAGATGAGGGTCAGTTCTGGGGTCCC